GGGAACTATGCGGCTCCAGATGTCTTACTGAGGGACGACTGCGTGTGCAAGATGTCGGTAGCTTGAGGAATGAATCCCTTCTACTATATACTAGAACTTTGACAGTGTGACAGGCTGAATAAAAGTTTTAAACGGGAACTATGCGGCTCCAGATGTCTTACTGAGGGACGACTGCGTGTGCAAGATGTCGGTAGCTTGAGGAATGAATCCCCTCTACTATATACTAGAACTTTAACATTTGCAAGCAAGCAGAGAACATTTCCTTCGCATGATCTATTCTTAAAATATGTATATTGACGTGTAAAATTTACGAACGGCAATAATAACAAGATAATGCTCTTACTAAGTTGCATAGATTAATCTGTTCCAAACAAAAGATACAATATTTTATACCATAGGAGAAAATTATACTTCCTACCTTAGTTTGAACGTCATTGCAAATATATTCACCCACATTTTGATGAGGTTTGGCGGTTCTTAACACTAGTGACACCCTGATTTCACGTCATACACCTATCTCGATAATGATTTCAGCACCAAGGACAGATGCCTTGACTTTTTTAAACGTGCGTATATTTTTAAGATAATTTCAAAACAAAATCTTCGGGTTGCTTTTTCTTTTTGCTTTTTTTTACGTTCTTATGAAGGTTTCACCTAGCACGTCGGCAGGACGTACTGTACCTGAGCGAAACCTGTAATGTACTGTGCACAGCACTTAAGCGGAACGTCTCATATAAGGTCATATTCGCGAATATAAGGTTAAAATCCTGTCTGTAGTTTCCAAATGTTATGTCGGAAAAGATACCCTTTGCAACAGACAATATTCTGATGCAACGTTGACCAAACATCCAACGAAAACCGTGAAAAAAAAATCAGGATTTCGCGCAGGCGCAGTACGTGCTGTCTCACCTGACTGATGGCTAGCCACGTGGTGGTGGCGTTACTGCGCAGGCGCGGGACGAGAAACCTGTGGATGACGAACTCCATGAAGAGAGTGAGAATCCCGCAGCCCAGCCCGGCCAGCAGGAGCACAAACACGCCCGTGAAGTGGCCCACGTCTAACTCCAACTTCTGTAAACGGATGGAAGGGAATAGATAATACTCAACCCGTACCTTTTCCCGACATAGGAGACCGCTGTTCATTAGTATCAGTACCCATTTACCAATTTCACACTTCCCATAATGCCTAGTAAAGATCACGGATATGACATATGACCACCCCCTCCCCCTTCCTCGATGTAATATTTACAACAAGTTCTATCGACAAACTGGTCAACTCTATTGTTTTGAATTATTAATCTAGTATAAAGCGCATGCCATAATTGCATTTTGTTTTGTTGGAATTAGAGAAAATGACGTACCTTCTATCGTTCTACATGTACCTTCTACCGAAGACTCTCCTACTCGCACGGTCGCATTACGTATATCCCCTTCTTACGTCATATCCCATCCATATCCGTGATCTTTAACTAGGCATTATGGGAAGTGTGAAATTGGTGAATTCACTAGTTTCCCATTCCCATGACGCATTGCGCCTGGGAGGTAAAATCTCCCAGGTTGCATAGCGCTCGAAGGTATCATGTTGACGTTAACAGCTTGTTTTCCTGTTTGTTTTGACGTGTTGGTAACGCTACACTGTCAATAGAAAGGAGATACAACTTTTGACTTGACTATATTGCTCGAAATAATTAACAGATGTTCGTAAATATTAAGGGATCAACCTTCTGTCATCAACGTATGTAAAAACACCACAGAAACACATAATTTAAATCACAAGACGCTATGCAACCTGGGAATTTTACCCCCAAGGTGCAATGCATCATGGGAATGAGAAACTGGTGAATATCCTTTTTGTACGCCCCACAACTTCCAATACTTACTGTGTATGTCAAGGAGCCCTACTATCATACTGTGGTCTGATTGGTCCTTGCTGTTATCCATGTTAATGACACAATTGATAAGCCCCCCTCCCACACTGTAACAATTTAGAAGATATTTCCACATCAATTGTTCAACAACTGTACAAGGTGAGTGATGCTGTGATTTTAAACACATCAACATACTGGTGACATGACAAGGGTACAGTATCTACCACAGTGATGTGAGGACTATCACGTATAATACACGCTACAAATGTACAACTACATAAACACCAATATATTCATGACGTTCACACTTCCCATAATGCCTAGTAAAGATCACGGATATGACGTAAGAAGGGGATATACGTAATGCGACCGTGCGAGTACGAGAGTCTTCGGTAGAAGATAGAACGTCATTTTCTCTAATTCCAACAAAAATGCAATTATGACATGCGCTTTATACTACTAGATAGATAACTAAAAACAATATAGTTGACCAGATTGTCGATAGAACTTGTTGTAAATATTACATCGAGGAAGGGGGAGGGGGGTGGTCTACGTCATATCCGTGATCTTCCCTAGACATTATGGGAAGTGTGAAAGTCATGAATAGCATTCAGATAAACACTTCTACTTAACATTAAATACTGACGTGAATGACATTCATAAAGCTTAGACGGAGGATACGTAACCCAACACATGTACAGATAACTACTAGACAAGAACACACCCATGTTAGCGAAGTTCAACGAGAAAAAAATTGGTTCAAAACTAAAAATGAAAATAGATACGTCTTTTTAACATCAATAAAAGCAAAAGTAGCAAGAAAATGTAGTGTGCTTTCTTGTAAAAAAAAATCCCGAAATTGTGCAATTTTGTGCAAAAGATCTGCATGTGAGTATTCAAAGTCAAAATTGTGCGATTTTGTGCATTTAACATCTGCATGCGAGTGTTCAAAGTAGCTGGTATACACGGCAGCGCCTCCATGCGGATACCAGCATAACAGCAATAGATAGAAAATGTGCACTTGTGCAAGGCAGTGCTTATGAAGTTAGTGAGCAAACCTGGATGGCTTCCTTCTACAATACGGTTGCGTGTGGGAAAAATGGCACATTAATGTATACTTGTTTCACAGGTAGCATGTTCTTGTATCGCCATCACTATTGCTTAGACAGAAAATCATAAGAAACATTACATAGTCTACACACTGAATGCCTGATTCCAAGATCACTAGTCTAATGACAGCACTAAGGACGGAAACAACAGACTGTCGGTGTCACAGAGATGGGGGTTCTTTCAAAACATGATACTATCGTGTACAAAGTTAGGTGGTAATATTTGTGGTATAGATGACTGCAACAATCCCCCAAATCTATCCATTATTACGCACAGATGAAAACAATTATATAATAATTGTCTGATCATGAAAGTTAATCTGTGTTGGTATTTACATGTTTAGAGTTAAAACTTTAGATCCAACACAAAATATTCTCTCACCTAGAGCTTTCGACCAGTCACTCTGGTCTTCCTCACACTTCAAAAAAGCCATGCGACAAGCCTCACTGGGTCAATCTACTGGGGAAGACCAGAGTGACTGGTCGAAAGCTCTAGGTGAGAGAAATTTTTGTGTTGGATGTAAAGTTTTAATAATTGTCTTGTTCTTGTGCGTAATTTCAGTACCATTTTTGCACAAGGAAAAAATGTTAACATCATGTTTTCTTTTTTTCCCTTTTTTTCTATATCTACTATACTTTTTTTCCTGAAAAAGAATGTATACAATTCATATCCAGGATTGAAGTGAAATGGCAGGAGTTGGCAGCCGTTGAAGTAAAACTTGCGACAGTCGCCCGGGAGGTGGTTAAACCTAAAAAATCCGCCATCTTGGATTTTGACCATTGACGTCATCAAATTAGCATAAATTATGCACTTTTAATGATGAAATGTACATAAAATAACATGAGATATTATTAAACTATGTGTAACTTGACATAAAACCTATAAAATTTTATTGTTGTAACGAAAACTACTAAATTTAGCAAAAAATGCCCATCAGAAACCCGTTACCATGGCAACACCAAAAATCATTATCTTATTCCACTGATACAAAATTGTTGCCAATAATATTTAAGGAAAATTCACCAAGTTTGGTGGTTCTAGCGCGAGCCGTCCGGACGCTATCCGACTAAAAGGCGCGGGCACTTTTAGCTTATCCCCCCTCCAGTCTAGATAGGGTTAACTTCTGCCATTTCACTCCGATACTAGACATATGAAACAAAAAAATAAATGCCAGAGTGAGCTTCCCTACTTGCTCCATGCCCTCGTTGCCCACGCTGCAGGGCACGCTGTTGTACCACTGCCGGTACAGCCTGTCCAGGTACCCCGTGCTGGTGTAGTGGTGGATCAGCCTCGTCACCTCGGACGTCAGGGACGAGTTCTTGGGCAGCCCGATCCCGTACACGTCACTGGAGAACGGCTTGCCCACCACCTTCAGGTTACACTCCGGGTCGATCAGCGCCTCGTACTCCAGGATAGCCTGGTCCATGATGAAGGCGTCTAGTTGACCTGCTCTGGAGAAGAGAAAGAAATGTCGTAGTATTGTGTTCTTGTACGGGACGGGGGACGTTACAGGCTCCTGCTCACATTTCATAGTCCATGATGAAGCCATTTAGACGACCTACTCTAGAGAAAGAGAAGAGAAAGAGATATCATGGTTAGTATCCCAGCGTATCTGGGGTTTTGTCCGAGACGGGGGACGTTACAGGCTCCTGCTCACATTTCATGGTCCATGATGAAGCCATTTAGACGACCTACTCTGGAGAAAGAGAAGAGAAGAGAAAGAGACATCATGGTTAGTATCCCAGCGCATCTGGGGTTTATCCGGGACGGGGGACGTTACAGGCTTCTGCTCAAATTTCATGGTCCATGATGAAGCCATTTAGACGACCTACTCTAGAGAAAGAGAAGAGAAAGAGATATCATGGTTAGTATCCCAGCGTATCTGGGGTTTTGTCCGAGACGGGGGACGTTACAGGCTTCTGCTCACATTTTCATGTCCATAATGAAGGCGTCTAGATGCCCTGCTCTGGTCGATCTTTTTAAAAGAATGACCCAATGTTGGCGTCACACTTCAAAGAAGCCACGTGACAAGCTTCACTGGGTCAGTGACTGGTCGAAAGGTCTAGGTAAGAGAATTTTTTTTTGTGTTGGACCAAAATTTTTAACTTTGAACATAACTTACTTCAGTTTGTCGACCGCTTCGCCAGTGTTAATGCTGCCATCCTTGCGCATGTGCATCTCTATGGCGGGGTAGAACTCCCGCATGAAAGACTCGGGACTGCTGTGTCGGACCGTCCCGAACCGGAAACCCTTGGACGGCCGTATCAACTACAGGAAATATTACAATCAAATCCCATTTGTGCTGGTAGGTAACCTGGTATCCAGTCTATCGCGGTTGGTGCGGATTTTCTTCGGGGCTGCTGAAGCTCTTCCCCGCCCGTCTCAGCTAGGTTCCCCGGTAGGTTTTTCGCGACGGGCGTGCCAAATTCTATCACAGGCATAACACACCTACCGGGTGGTCTGTCGAGCTGGGCGGGGTAAAACTTTTAGAGCCCCGAGGACAGCCTTCCCCAACCACGATAGACTGGATACCAGGCTAGATTGTAGGTATATTATTAGGTAAAAGGGTTAGTTATCCCGACGAAGGGCAAAATATTGATCGAAAAATAAAATGTTAGTGCATGTATTTAACCTGGGTACCAACGAAAGTTAAACGTAGGGCAGGCGGCAAATTACACGATAACATTATATATAAGCGTCTCCTTTCCCCCTTCTGACTCTATTTTCAAAATTACTATGCTGAAGCATCACCTTGCGGACCAAGGTTAAACTACAGCAAGAACATTACACGTTCTAATGACTGAGAGACATAACGGTATATAGCTAGACGGGATACTCGCCTTGGGATCATCTATTCCGTTGAGCTCGTTGATGGTTTTCTCATCCACCATGAAAGCGGCCAGGTTGGCTGTGTAGCTAGCCAGGAAGATGACAGAGAAAGCCGCCCATAGGTTTATCAGAAACCTGGTAAAACACCGATAAAAGTTAAATGTCATCAAGGAAACAATTCTGTCAGAAATAGTGTTTTTTTTGTATTTAGAACATGTTTATTATGAATGCCACGTATGTTTTTTTAGTAACTCTGGATATCATTTTATCATCAGAAAGTTATCATTACGAAAGTCCACAAGATGTACTAGGCTCAACCATGTCCTTGGCTCTACTTACAAACCTTTTTAACAAGCATTCAAACTAGAGTTCCACGACCTCATGCCTTGGCCAAAATGACATTAGCTTCCATACAAGAACTTACTCACAAGTATTAGGGAGTCCAAATTTACACCACTTCATCTATGCCCCCAAACATATATTTACCATACAAAAATCCAGAACTACTAACCAACAAACACAAAAAGTCTACTGCGGTGGCGTATGACTCCCCCCACAAAGCTCATTTTCAAACTTGACCTTGGTCTCCTAAATAGTAACTTGCCTATCAAAAATCATGAACATCCAAGTACAGATTCTCGACTTATCCTGCTAACTAGAACAACGACACAGAAGGTCCAATGCAGTAACGTACGGACTCCCACGAGTCCCATTTTCGAACTTGACCATTGTCTACCCAACGGTAACCTGCATGCAAAAAATCATGAACATCGATCCATTCCTTCAATAGTTATACCGCATAAATCCAGTCTCCCCCCACCATACACAAACAGATTTCGTAGCCTTCTGACGAAGGCAATGATAGCTAATGTGTGTACCTGCTGCTCCAGCACTTGGGTGTCTTAGTGGCGACCGTGTGACTGAAGAGGATGGACCAGCAGAGGTTCAACGCCGACGGAAAGCCGAAAATCCTGGGCCTGTTCCTCGCCTTCGGTGTCAACCCGTACGGACTGCACCACTCGTAGATGGTAGCAAATATGGCGGCTAGGTGAAGGGTCACGAAGATCCCCACCCACATGGACCAGTCCAGCGGTTTCATGAAAGACGCCAGGGGGGTTGGAGCCTCCTTCTTGTAGATGAGGATGCCGAGGTTGGTGTAGAAGTAGGGGGCGGAGAAGTCGATGACTTCGCTCCGCTTCTTCGTGATGGTAAAAGAAGAGACAGCCATGTCTGCTCGGCCGTACAGCAGGTCACCCACCATGCCGTTCCACAGGTTGTCCTTCAGCCCTCCATACTTCCCGTCCCGCACTACGTACAACTCGTACTGGAAGTTCAGATCCTGGCTAAGTTTGTGGAGTAGATCGTGGCATAATCCGTAGCAACATTTTTTCTCGACCTCTATCGAGGCTTGGTCGTCTAGGGTACCGTTGTGCTCGTCTCTTTTCTTCGGCATGGTACACATGGTCCCGGCGGGGCACTGGTTGTTTTCGTCCAGTTTTCTTGTGAAGATGAACGGATGTTCTTCTAGCGTCACGACTCTGAGGACTGTCAGAGAAGCGTTCGTGTTTCTAACCCATAATGGAGAGTTCCACCTCAACTTGTCGTCTTGGGAAGTACCTGTGTTTAGATTTAGATACGGTTAGGTACGTTTGGGAATGCATTTATAGAAGCGACACCTGTGCTGCAATGCAGTGCAGTGTGAATCAGTCAGAATTGTCCTGAGGAAGGTGACAGACCGTCCCTGAAACGTCGGCTGAATAAAAGACTTGCAATTGGTTGTGTAATAAGAGTGTTTTTACTAAGTGACTTACCAACCTGATGAAACTATTCACGGGTATAGATACGTATGTATACAACAATGTCGTCTGGACTAAAAATATGGAATTTATTTTATACATAACGTTTGACATTCTCGTGTTACCTTCTACCAGCACCTTTGAAAAGAAATATAATTAGGCAGATATGAGCATCTATTTCAACCAAATTTTGCGAAGCAATTATGTGGAATCATAAAAATTACCACCACTTAACTGCCTTTCAACAAATTATTACCCAAAATTATGAAACGAAAAAAACACACCGAAATACAGAAAGCTGTCAACATCAAATTCTCAAAGCAACCAAAGAAGCAATTGATATGATGTAGATATATATATATTACAATTATGTCTTGTATTTTATTATAATAATTGTGAGAAAGATTTGGGTGTGGTACAAGAATGCTACTCTCCAAGCAGATGTTTGGGGTTTGGCTTTTTGTGCGTGTTTTAGGCTTTTTATTGGACTTCTTTTCTGCAATGGTATTTATTTTACGTTAGATCAGAGTAGAAAAAGATACCAGTGCAAAAAAAGAAAGCCCGATTAAGAAAAGCCTAAAAACACGACCAAAAGAAGCCAAAACACAGTCTTCTGCTTGGGGAGTACAAAAATGCTACGTTTCGGCCCATGGAAAATAACCCCGCTATTGCCCAGCCACGAACCTACATGAACCCATTTTCTCTCCTCACTGGACGTCAGACGGACGGTCCAAATGTCGTAGGTCGACGTCGCTAGGCGGCCGTATTTGTCAAACGATATCCTGCCCGTCTTCCCTTTGACTGTGGTGTTGATCATATACCTGGGGAAACACATCTGCTGCCAGGGTGGCCACTGTATTGTGAATGTCGCAATTTTCGAAAATAAAATAAAACATAAGGCCACAAAAAAAATTAAAATTAAAATTAAAATTAAAATTAAAATTAAAATTAAATTAAATTAAATTAAATTAAAATTAAATTAAATTAAGATTAAATTAAATTAAATTAAATT